TTTTACGTCCAGCCCCACCCGTGCAAATCTTCGTCTCAAAATCGATCAAACGTCACTTTTCATATTACTTTCTTAATCGTAATATATCGAATGGTATCAGTTTACCTTGTTGGAGTTGTTAGAGTTGATACTTCAAATAGTTGATAACGTCTTCTTTCACTTTCCTGATGTTTTAGGACAACTGTTAGTCAATTCTTAAGAATGTGACGTGCTGTTTCTGGAGCAGTGATAATGCGACTGACTTGATATTGTTTGATTTCTTTTGTTGTGAAGCGTTATTTGTTTACACGGCATTGTTGTGTTCCACAACAATTCCGAGTAAACAAATATCTGTTGGCATTGTTGATGACGTCATTTTTTGACGACAAATTGGTTGAAGACAACGACTAATCACAAATTTTTATAGTAAAGATAGATAATAATAATAATAATAATAATAATGGTCACTGTTTACTCTAAGAATTATAGGAAATCATAAATATAATATGTACTCGTAGCAGACGATTTCCTAAGAACAATAGAAGGCTAGTCCGCGAGTAACAGTCGTTGGTGAGAGTCGCCTCTCGATGTTCATCTACTCGTATTTCTTGCGAGGCAAGCGATAATTAACAAAGTCTGCCGAGGGCACCGAAGCTAGACAGCGAGCGAAACGTGGACCTCAATTCCTGTCTCTCATGGAGATAAGGAGACGTATGTACAACATGGAACACTGCACGCTAGACATTTCAGGTTTTCCGGTTTAGAATAAAATGCATACACAATTTTAATCGGATACTCAGAAGGAAAGTGGCTACTTGGAAAATAATATTATAATAGATCTTGAAGGAACAGGATGGTATGTTGTAAACTGGATTCATGATCCTCAGATAAGGGACAAATGTCTGGCTTTTGTACATACGGTAACGAAACTTCGGTTACAATGAAGGTAGGGAATTCTTTACCAGCTGAGTGAGTATGAGCTTATAAATAAGGGCTCTGTTCCATGGATTTAGTTGAAAATCAATCATGTTTACGCTTTTTTAAAACAATAAACATGTAAACAAACTGCATTCTGACTATGCCACCTGTTTTTAATAACATTTTATTTACTTAAACTCCTGTGTTTTGTAAAAAAGGTACCGTTATTGGTTATAATGTTGCTTCCCGCCAAGAAGAATTTAAAATAAGAACATTTAACATGAGTAAGGTAAAATAAAACATAAAATCTCATTGGGAGAGGCATTTTGGAAGGAATTATTAGCCTAAAATGGAGGACAATATTAAAATAAATTAGATTAATAGGTTGTCATGATGTGAATTGCATTGGACTGGCTCAAGATCAAGTATTTTGAGCTAATAGCGACGAACTTTTAAACTTTATAATAAAACAAATTATTTGATTGTTCGGTCAAAAATAACAATACAAATAGCTTTGTATTTGATACAGAACAGTCAACAAAATATTTTAACTCCACAAGTGCCTTTGTTAATCAGAACAGAACATTTCGATCCGATAATTCTAGTACTGGCAAAGTTCCTGAGATGGGATGCATAATCGGACGAGAACAAATGTTTTTGTACAGCTAAACATTCATTATTCTAAACTTAAACTGCTAGTAGTTCATTTTTATATGATTTAATTGACGTATCTGAAGAGGCTGCAGGTCTAGGGCCAAATTCCAGCAAAATTTGGACACTGACAAAAATTAAATTTCTAAAAATTAGGTTTCTCTTACTTTAAATTAAGATATTTTATATTGTAGATATTTAGTTTAGTAGCATTGGCTATCAGGAGCCATCTTGAAAAGATAAACCAGAATACTGATAAAAAGTTACTATTTTTAAATAATCAGTCTTCTTTCTGCTCTGTAACATTTTTAACTATAATCTGAATTCAACAGAGCACGAACTCAGGTATGTGTTTTAAACATTAAATCATAAAAGTGATTTTTTTTCAGAATTACTCACAAAAATTCATTACGCAAAGTGTTAGAATCGCGACAAATTTGACTGTGTTGTAAGTCCAATTATGGAAGACTGACTACAAAGATATCAAACTCTTTTCAGAAACAGCAATCAGAAATTTCCCTTTATCAGTATATGAAAGGGAAATATCACAGTTAATAATGATAGTGCAACTTACTGAATTATGTTACGTGACAGATAAAGATACTGTTAAATACAATCAAATAGATTTTTAACTTTCATTTACAGCAGCCAGAAATTCTTGTTATCACGAAGCTTAGAATATTTTTTCTTCGCGTCTCCCATCTAAAAATAATCTTATCTGTTGTTTTGCATGGGTGTGAAACTTGGTCTTTCGTATTATTATAAGATAAAAAAAATTGTGATTTCGTCGTCGTCAATAAATTACGTCATCAACAATGTCAACTATAAACAAACTCGGCATTGTTGTGGAACACAACAATGCCGAGTTTAGTGTCTTACTCAAGATTTTAAAACGCAACCCCCCCCCCCGAAGGGGTTGGTTGCTTTTTAAAAACTTGACCAGCCCCTCCGAGGAGCTCCGAAAGGAGCGTTCTGCCCTAGTTAAGATAAAAATACAGATTGAAGGTGTTTGAGAACAGGGTGCTTAGGAGTATATTTAGACCCAAGAGGGCTGAAGTGATAGAGTGCTTGATGAATAAATCGGGCTTGTAGCGCATGGCAAAGATGAGAAATGCGTATACAATTTTGATTTCAAAGCCTCCGGGTAAGAAATTACTCTGAATACCAAGGTGCAAATGAGATGATAATATTAAAACGGGTCTTAGGGAAATAGGTGTGAATGGTATGGATTAGAACATCAGAGACAGGGACCGTTGTCGGGATCTTATGAACAAGGTAAAAGAAGGAAAATATTTTGACTATCTGAGCGTACTGTTAGATTCTAAACAAGGACTCCACTCCACGAAATTTTTATTGTTACTATTATCAAAATCATCGATATTATTTCTATAATCACTTAATTACACTGAATGAATTCAATAGCTTCTTACCCATCACTGAAGAACGCTTTCGGACGATGCACTAGAAACACAAATGTTATAACTAACGCCTTTCAAACAGTCACTACTACTGATCTCATAAAACTCGTTCAGACAGCTGTTATCGCTGTTCTCTGTTCGATACTTATCGATCGATAATTGGTAAACTGTACAATGATATAGGTCAGGGTGGTTGAACTCTTTTCTTACATCAGTCCAAGAATGAGATTACTTCCGGATTGTTTCACCGTGGAGTCTGGTATATAATGACCCAACGTTTCACAAGAGATTATTGCCTCCATCATCAGGGTGATTAGCAAGCCGCGTGCGGAGAAGTTTAAGTAGATGCGACTGTTTTCTTTTTACTAAAACATCTACACATAATATAATTAGCTATGATTATGGAAGCAGACACAACTTCTGAAACGTGGTGTTCTTTTTAAAACAAACACAGACGATGGACATAGTCCAAGGACTTAGTGATCCCGATTGTAACACACCAACGTCAGTACCCTTTGAAATTACTCATATCTTGTTCTCTGTTTTTTCACCCCCCCCCCCCCCCCTCCAATCCCCCGGTTTGTGTCCACGATTCAATATTTTCAAAAATGTTACATCTCTGGTTGTTATGTGTTGCAGAATACCCCTTCGGATATGCGATCTTGCAAACACGTTGGTCTGTCGGACAAAGTGGCGTTGTTCAACAAAAAGGCAGACCAGCACGTGGACACACAGACCAAGAACCCGTTCAGCGCTGCTGAGGGAGTGACTATCGATAAGCCGAAACTTGACAAGAATGACCCAAACTACGGCAGGTAAATTTAATTTATCGATGTTTTTTCTGACTATATAGCGTCGAATGATAACGAATAATCAATTCGAAAGCTCGTGGCCTAATTTAAGATACTATCCCAGCATTTACCTGGAGGGAGTACGAAAAACCACGAAAAACCTGAGTCAGGATAGCCAAGACTTGAACCCCGGCCCTCCCGAATACGAAGCAGTATACATTTATATATTCCTCCACCCCCAATTCAGGGTTTAGGAGAAATGTCATTGTGTACAATTTTGGACATCCTTAAACATTTATTTTCAAAACAAAAAATTATTTCCTCACAGTTGTCTCTGCATTGTATTTATCATTTCATCCACAAAGCACCATTTAGAAAAACCAGGGTGGGATGGACAGATGATTTTTGGCTGTTATACGAGGTGCTACCCAAAAGTTCGGGGAATTTGAATTCCAAGCGCGAACCGGTTATGGAATGGCCTGCCGCCGCTAGATGGGGCGAGCAGTACCCTTTGTGAATTAGTGTGCCAACAGCCGTGAAGGCGAGAGGCCGCGTTCTTTAGTCTCGTGCGTTTTTAAACCTGCATAAATGGCAGATTTTAAGGAGCAAAGAATCTGCTTCAAAATTTTGCTTTAAGGTAGAAACCCACAGCGTGCTTGTGGAAGCATCTGGTGAGAATGTTATGAGTCAAAGTAAAACATTTTTGTGGTACAAACGCTTTAAGGATGGACGAACGTCTGTCGACGACGATGAGCGTTCAGGACGACCATCGACAAGCACAACACCGGAAAACATCGCGAAAGTGCGAGAGGCTATGGTTGCAGGTGCTTAAAACACTCTCACTTGAAGACTTCCAGGGATGCATGGAATCATGATAAAAAAACTCGTTGGGATCGCTGTATCCATGCCCAAGGAGACTACTTCGAAGGAGACGGTGGAAACTAAGAGTTATGATAAGCAAATCTTTTTTTATATGGGCAAATTCCCTGAACTTTTTGGTAGCACCTTGTATTTTTTGAATAATTATTTTACTGTATTCTGACGGTGAACGATAGAGAGACACAATTTTATATTCAGTTAAACAGAAATGTACAAATTTTAAACCTGGTTTATGTGCACTGACATCAAATAACTTCTGTCTGTCTGTATTACTGTGCAGACCTGTAGCTGGTTCAAAGACGGACATTCGAGGCAAGAGGGCATACACACACATCAGCAAAGAGGTCCTACAGCTGTGTCAGATTATCTATGAGAATGGCGTACCAATTGAAGAGATTACAGAGGATGGGCATAACCAGATTGTAATCACTTTTGGAGAACTGTTTCAGGTACACACGCAAATTGTAATGCGTGACTTAAATGGCCACTTAGTTGTATCATATCATTAGGGTTAATAGAGGCCTCCAAAAAATAAATAAATAAATCATCACATTTGATCAAAGGGTTCAGAAACTGAGACAAATGAACAATTCTCTAATGTTGGGGTACGACTAATTCTAATTCAACACATTAAATGTACCACTAACCAAATGCGTTCAGGGAAAAACTTATTTATGTTAATAAAATCTTTCGATTTTCTTACTTATTTCGCGTACCATAGGTTGAGAAACGCTGCTCTAATGCATCTGCATATACTTCTTATATTAAATACATAAAATTAATGCTCAATGGTAAAAGGTAAATATCATGAAGTTAACTGCCTTCTGGATTGTATATATTGCACTGTGTAATCTGGTAAAAGTTTACAAACATTTCAGAAGTCAAAGATTTCTGTCTTCTGGGTTGTTGCGCTGTGTAGTCTGGTCGATGTTAACCAACGTTTCAG